CAATTTCAGAGCTTCTCTTTGTTTTGCTACAAATATGAGGTTGGTCGTCTGAAAGAGACTCTCAGTTGTCTAGCAGGAGGGTCATTTCAAAACATTTCAGCACAACTTCGGCTCGATTGCCATTCCTGAGAACCTCATTGTTCCGCGACCACAGTTTTTATCTAGTGAGCTGAAGGGCAGCCGGTAAGATAAAAGAAAACTTTTGAAGTTCGACCTCAAAATTTCAAGTGCGTTCACAGGACTGTGATTTGTTTCAGATACTCTGTTGGCTCGGGACCTATTCTCATCATGGACAAGCGCACGATCAAAATCTTTGGCTTTACATTCGACGCCGACAAAGCCCCTGGTAGCGTTTTGCGACTGAAAACATCCTATACAGTAATTGTGCTTCAAAAAACAATGTAACCATTTTAGATGGATACTTCTTTGTCGGTCGTGGACCAAATGTTGCACATGACGCTGGAGTGAAAGTTCCAATTCGCGGCCGCGACACACCAGAACTGTAAGTGTTCCCCTTCACTTCGAAAAGGTAGGGGATTTCCGTCCCTCACCTACATACTGACCTAGGCTGGTATACACAGAGCGCAAAGAATCGGTGGTTTGATGGATGTTGTTATCAGTAGAGGGATTTTGTGTAAACAGCTATTGTTACAACGAATTCGAGTAAAGGCTACGCTCAGGATCGACCGACAACCACTTGTCGTGAAAAAGTAGTAAATAACAAAGACAATGAATGATAACTAGTATTGTCACAGAGCTAATGCCCTAAACACAAGTCTCAAAACAACAACGTCGTTTCTCGGTTTGAAACTTAAGAAGCTGGTTTTTAGTGCTAGTAGCAGCTTGATCCAAGCAGACCTTCACTTTTGGTTGGCTCTTCGGTCAGATGAATTCTCACCTCTTCATTTGACACGCCAAAGAGGAGCAAAACTTTACTTTGATTGGTAGACACCACTTACTGCTATTGAGCTCATTAGCTATTAAAAGCCTAATCGGCTTCCGTCGAAAAAGTACTGTTTGCTGGTCAGGTGCTCCTATTGTTTAAACAGCGGGCGCGTTCGCGTGATTTTCTCACAATCTCTCTGTGAGATCGGATTCTTCTCTATTGAGCATTGAGCGTTTTTGGTGAGCACTTTAGGAACGGCTTGTTTGGAAAGACTCAGGCCAACACTGGGCCTTTGATCCCACTCCTAAATTGGGGAGGACACATTTGAGCTCTCGACCTAATCCCAGGCCAATCGCTGCAGGTAATTCGAACGGGGATTTCATTTACTGAGATATGCATTGCATTTCTAGAGATTGAGTCCGGAACTTCTAATTGAGGAAGATTTTTTTATTATTTCGTTCATTCCACGCCCTCTACGGAAGTTCTAGGAATGGAGACCAGGTAAGGTAGGAGTATGGTAGCTACAGGTAGCAGCAGTGGAAGATGCGAAGGGATATTGTATTAAAACCTTCCTAAGGGGGGTGGGGGTGGGGGAGGGGAGTGAGGGGGAAAGTATAATACTGATCCTGAAGTTTTGCTTCAAACACACCCACTCAACCAACTTTGTGAAATAAAAACTGTAGAGCGCTAATTTTCTGTTGTTATGGCCCGCCGTTATCGGCCTTGGCACGGACGATATTTGCCTTTTAAGGTCTAGGTAGAGGGAGAAAAGTGATCCTCAGAAGTGAAGCTAATACAATAGTGATAGTGAACGGTGCCCTGGCGGTAAACTAGTAGCACACTCGCTCGCTCAGGGAGTAATACGGCGTTCAAATCCTTGCCTAGAGAGAACGAGCCGTGAAATCTTTGCCTAATAGATTCAGCATGCTTTCGAACACTTGCAAAACCGGACTGTTGCCGTGTTAAAAACGAGCACTGAACAACAATAGATACTGTCTAAAATTTTGATACTGCGCTAGAGTTTTCGCCATCGCTGTTCAGTGCCGATGAGTCCCGGATCATCACCTTGGACTGTGATGCTGACAAGCTATGGTAAATAACCATCATAAGCTGAGTTTTAAGTCCAGTCATGCTCCTGTGGTGTATGCTATATCAGCAGGCTTGCTCGTTGAGTGGGAAATGCGGTTTCGAAACCTTCCTGGGACGACGTGTTTTGCGCAGATCCCAACCCTCGTGAAAGCTGTGCTAACTATACTACGGATTACAGTCTGCGTAATCAGTTGCAATGGTTTTTGGAACAAATCGCCACTATTTTCAAGATGTAAAGAGAGCGCTCTAAAGTACAGCTACTCCATGAAAAGAGAACATTCATCGTAGGCGTTTCAAGAAAAAACTTCCACCGCGCACGAAAATCCGTCGAGTACCTGAGCAGGAAAACGAAGCGGCTCATAAATCATGCCTGCTGGGTTGTTTTTTTCTGTTGAAAAAAGTTAAGGCCTTTTAATGTCCTTCTGAAATTTCTGACGAAAACTTGATAGAACCACTTTGAGAAAACTGAAAAACTGTGTCAAACTTTATAAAAGCCGCTATATCTGTGCAGATTTCGTGGTCTCTTTGAAAGATAAGACGTTGATTAGCACCAGAAAACCTCAGAAAACCCTTAACCCTTCATGGAAAACTGTCACTTTTGCTCGATAGACACTGTTTGTCTACCAGAAAAAATCTAGTTAAACTTGTTTCCGAGCACATGATAATCAATTTAAGGATTGACAACTTGATACTATATGGCTTATGTAGCGAAAACCCAAAAGCTACCGGCACTATTTACCCTTTACTGCCCCACTCCTCGAGAACTGAGCCGGGTTTTTATCGAAATTGGTCCATGACTGTGGATTTGGCTAGAAACTTGCCTTCGGGGTAATTCGACCCGTAGAACACGAATATCACATTTGTTTACCGCTAGAACGCCTGGCGCTCGCGTCAGAAGCGCCGGCGCCAAAAGGCGCCAGAACATCTCGGATCCCAAATTCGCTGGAAAGTTGTCTTCAGAGGTACTTTGACCCGTAGAACATGAATATCACATCAGTTCGTTGCGAGTGAGCCTGTAGCCTGCGCTACGGGCGCCCGCGCAAAACTGTTGTGATAGCGCCGGCGCCTGTGGCGCGGGCGCCAAGCGTTTCGCGCTAAACCGGTGTGATATTCGTGTTCTACGGGTCGAATACCCCTGAAACAAGTTTCTAGCCAAATCCTTAGTCATGGACGAATTTCGATCAAAATCCGGCTCAGTTCTTGAGGAGTGGGGCAGTAAAGGGTAAATAGTGCCAAGCTACCTTTCAAAATGTACTTCAAATGAGGATCTCCTTTGGACTCTCGCCCACACCCACTGTGCTGAGCATGGTTTTGACAGTCTTCCCACGGATCTACAGCACACCTTGCTCGTTCAAAGTCAAATCCTTCGTACCCCGAGGTCTTGTAGAACAAATACCTCGACTATCCAGCACCTGTGCAATTGTCTCTCGGCTATGTGAGATAGTACATGGATGTGAAATACTTACAGGAATTACTAGTTCATTAGTAAATATAATACATGTATGGACTCGACTTTTTAACTTCTTCAATAACTTTATGATAAATATACGTAGCATATTAAAGAAATCCCGTCGAGAAGAACGTAGGTGAATGAAAACCAAGTAATTCCATGGAACCTGCATGTGTGAAACATAGAGCCAATAGTGTAGCGGTAATAAGCCTTATTAAGGCTTAGCCTCAACCGGAGCTCGGTACCGTT